TGAAAAGGTCCTTCCGCCCTACCCTCCGGTTTTGCACTAAATTCTTTTTTGTGAATAGCAAAATGTGCAGTAGGTATGAGAAACTTCCGCCTCTTGTTAAATGACGGCATATACCACACGGCGGGGGTGTGACAGCAGCAACAATTTTTTCCTCATTAATTTGAAATAGTTTGTAGTGGGCAAATAAAAAATTGGAAAAAATGATTTCAAATTAATATTGCATATTAATCCACTATTAAGTAACTAACAATGTCATAGGATTTCATCTATTTCAATTTGTTAGAATTGTGACCTTGAAGAAATCTGCGCGAAGATAGAAAGAATACACACTAGGCGTGAGCAAGACAGAATCAATTGGAACAAGCTCGAACGAGCAGAGCTCACGATGGGCGGTCTTAGAAGATCGACTAGAACTGTACAGTACTAGACGAAAATGTTTAGCAATTTCTTAAAACAAAAATGTATATAAATTAACAATAGAAAACAAAGCAAAAGTTTTATAAGTGTGTAGAAAGCTAAGTTAATTCACTTGTTATTATTTTTGTCTAAATATGCTTTTAAATAAAGCATATTCTTAAAATTTAACGAGGCAATTTAAATAATTTTGCAAATAGTACTGTACACTTTTGTCTAATTCTCGCTCGATGATCGGTGGGGAAATGAGCTACGCAGACAAATATGATTGAATTTGGAATTATGCTACGGCGCATCCTAATAAGGGGAAGATGCATATCTCTAACTTCTTGAAACGAACAGTACATCGGCGTTTGAACACGCGCTGTTTCATACACCCCTACACAAAGACGTTCTTTGGAGGTAGTTTCGGACTATTTTATGACGTTAATTATACTTAATTATAATTTTATATTCAATTAATATGTGCCTAACGATCCAATATAACATAACGATTTCATCTTATTCATAAAGTTTGTAAAAATAATCCAAGTTGGTTTCTATACTTACGACTTGTATTGACGGATCATCCATTGAAAAATACATGTCTTTCATGGCTTTAGGGGTTGCTATTTTTCCATAAGAAAGACAGTTAAGCACCAACGTTATGTGAGCTCCGGGTTGCTTTTGATTAACCACAAAAATTAAAGAATTTATGTGAGTATTGTCTTCTAAT